CACGCGCACTGCAGCGGGTCTGAGCCGAACACGAACTGCAGGGGGGGGGGTTAAAACAACCCCCCTGAGATCTCAAAAACGGCGCAACGTAGCGACAAGCGGTAAACGGCGTTGGATAGGTTGAGATGAGATCTACAAGAAATACTAAGATCATTTTTGGGTCAGGTCAAAAACGAGGTCACCAGAGGTCACCGAAGACAAAATGTTACGATTTTCACAACAGGAATTTCGCGGTAGTTTTTCTTGAATAACTTGTCTTGCACACAAGACAGAGGATCGATTCGAACGCCATCGTTCTTAGCTCGTCAAGGCGCATCGAATGATGCGAGAGCCCTTTGAGGTCCTCTGAGGGCCATTTGACGTCAGCTGAGGGTGCTTTGGCCCTAGCTGATGGCCCTTTAAGCCTTCTGACCGCCATTTGACGCCAGCTGAGGGCCATTTGATGTCCGCTGAGGGTCCTCTGACACCTGCTGGGGGCCCTCTGACACCAACTAAGAGTCCTTTGAGGCCTTCGTAGGGCCGTTTGACGTCAGCTGAGGGTGCTTTGGCCCTAGCTGATGGCCCTTTAAAGGTAGTGTGCCAGCTTTCTTGGACCGTATGGAGTTAATGGCCCAGATAAGGAGAACCGGATTTTTAGAACTTATCCATACCTTCAAAACTCATGGAAACGTCTTAAATTCTTCAAATTTTGAGTACCCCAGTGCGAAATTCGCCCCGACGGGTTGTCGGTCGTACCCCAACCACATTTCACACCACTATGAACAATAAATGCACACACTGAAATCGCTATTACCGATATGCTCATCCAATCAAGTTTCGATAAACCCGTTCATCATCATCTCCTGCGGTTTCGAACAAGCCTGTTAGGTGGCTTCTGATGCTCGTCGAGGTCGGAATTTCCAAATACGCGTGGTGCGTCGGGCCGCGCGCTCTGACTTCGGCCAAGAAAAATGCGTCAGCTGATCATTGTCATTTCTGCCACTTGCGTGTGGTGAAATGGGGTCATAACTTATAAGACGGCTTTTTCATATCAATTATTTTACATAAAATCATATTTCAAACCATAAATAATGTTCGACAGCCAAATAAAAGAAACAATACCAATACGGGCTTACAGTTTAAGGCTCGACATTGTGTTGTCTACGATTAGACAGCTGATAACTCATTCCCGTACGTCGTATGGTCGTAACACTATAATGACCTTTGCTTATTGTCACAAGTGCGCCGCATTCGCGATTGTTGCCCGACGCCTGTTTGCAGGTGAGCCCACTACAGTTGTTATACATATCTAAAAACCGAAAAACTTTTAGGCGAAAAAGGCACTATTCCAGGCCCATTTTTGATTTTTTTTACGATATTAGGTAAAAACAGAAGCTTCTTATCCTAGGAAAAATAAAATGGGAAATCTTTCAAAGGTGGCACACTACCTTTAAGGCCTTCTGACCGCCATTTGACGCCAGCTGAGGGCCATTTGATGTCAGCTGAGGGTCCTCTGACACCTGCTGGGGGCCCTCTGACACCAACTAAGAGTCCTTTGAGGCCTTCGTAGGGCCGTTTGACGTCAGTTGAGAGCCCTTTGCGGCCTGCTGAGGGCTCTTTGATACGACAATCACGCAGCATCACGCAGCATCATGCAAGCATCGATCGGCCCAGTAGTTCCTGAGTTATAGAATGGCTGCCATAGGCGACAACGGTCATGTGACCTCCCAAGGTCACCGAGGTCACCTGAGAGGCTGAGATCACCATTTTCGAAACGGCTGATGAAATCGCATACGCTGAGTCGACTGGTGGCGTTTTCGTCTCGATCGGCCCAGTAGTTCCTGAGTTATAGAATGGCTGCAATAGGCGCGTCAATAGCCGTTTTCACGACGGCCATCTGATACACATTTGGTGCAGATTAGGTGCAGATTTGGTCAAATTAGGTTCAGTGTATCTCTTAGTAGCTATCAGCTAGGGTTGCAATAATTACTTATACCTAGGCCTGCTTTGTCATATCAGAGAGTATCATCGATTAAAATTATAAATTCATAAAATGAAGATATTTGCTGCACCAGAGATTACGTGCAGATTTGGTCAAATAAGGTGCACTCGCCGGATAGCCCGTCGTGAAAACGGCTAATGCCAAGTTGACCTTTTGAGGTTACCCAGGTGCAGGTCACTTGAGGTCATCATCATCGAAACGGCTGACAAAATCGTATCCCCTAATTCGAATGGTGTTTCGTTCATCCCGATCGGTCCAGTGGTTCCTGAGTTATAGAATGCTGCAAGGGTGGCGGTCGAATAGTGTTGCCCCTATTTGGCAAAGTTGTGGACTGGTGCGTTTTGCGGCATAAATGGCGCACTGTTACAATTGTGGCGCATTGCGGCAAGGGCAGTCCTTTGTATGTGTTGTGCATCCGTCCCCAAAATTGAATCCAAATCGGATCATGTTTGACAAAGTTACAAACATTTTGCGATTTCGGGCGATTATGGCGCATAATGACAAATGTGGCGCGGTGCATCAAACGCGGCTCAGTTGTCATTGACGCTTAACAATGCAGCCACCCACCAAATTTGAACCCAATCGGACCATATTTGAGAAAGTTATGGACATTTGAATATTTCACGATAAAATATCTCCGCAAAGGAGGAGCCCAGCTGAACACGTGTGCCACGTGACCACCGGTGGTACAAGCAGGACTTGTCCCCTCACCGATTGTGCCCTTTCAGGCTTCCTGACTGGTGCTGTTTTCGTGCTATAAGGCCACAAGTCGGCAAACACACGATAATCTGGGAGGTACGTGACTCAAACACGTGGCCACGTGGCACGTGCCGGACCTCTGACAGCTTCACCGTTCACGCCACGTGATGACCCATCGACGTGGCCATTAGCATGTAAAAGATGACCCCGGCCGGTGTCATCGTCACTGAACAGTGGACGGCTAAACTTGAAAAACGGGAAAATTTAGGGAAATTTCACCTTTCTAATATATAATTTCCCTAGAATTTTAAATTTTTCGTTTTACAAAAAATCCGAGATAGCAGTTTTTTAGCGCCGTTCATTCTGTGTCTACACCCGTTTTCAGATCGACTCTATCATAAAAACTGACGGCCTGACGGCTATTTCCCCCATTCCTTGCATTTCACAATGTTGGTGTATTTAAGAACAAAAATTGACCCCGTGCCACGGCACGTGCAATAGCACGTGCGCCACGTGACCACTGGTGCGACAAGCTGGACTCATCTGCTCACCGGCTGCATTGATTTGGTGTCGCTAGATGAAGTCGTTTCCGCGCCATAGGACCCCCAGTTGGACAATGTCGGATTTTCCCGGAGGTTACCCCATCAAACACGTTTGCACGTGGCACGTGCTTTTCAATCGCCCCATATCTGACCCATACCATGTGGTAGCCGACACCCCGGGGCACAACATATTGGAACATTTTCAAAATCTAACGTGGAAATTTTTTGCAAAATCGATTTGAAAATAATTTTTCGAAATCGCCATAGGCTCAACATGGGGTAACTGTCCGTCACGATTACCCGAAACTGTACCCTATGATTTTTAAATAATTACCCCCAGAAGGTGAGGTGCCAGCCCAAGAACTGACCCTAAAAAAGTGGACAAATATTACTGAACAGATTTTGCGCAAATCGCATTTTTAATTTTTCCCCATGTTAACCCTATGGGAAAATGCACGTGCCGATTACCCCAAAACGGGTTAATTATATTTCAAGCGACCGGTACCAGCCGGTAGCTCCCCCACACGGGACCAAACGCTGAAAATGGCAAGAAAATCTACCGAGCCGTTTCGGCGGCGATCAAAATGACCCAAATCGCGGCAGAAACGCTAAACACCCCCCTAGAGAGGTAGCTCAGGTTGGGATTTTCAATAGAAAATCACAATTCTAAAGAATAGTGATTGTTCTTAATTGAAAAGTCCCAACCTTCGGATACGTCATAAAGGTTTGAATGGTTGCTAAATTCGAATTCAGCTCCAGAAACTAGCCTAGAAACATGTAAAACTCGAAAAAGTGAACCAAGGTCATCAAAGGTCAATGACCTGACCTGACCTGACCTTCTGGTGACCTTGACATACACCCTATTGCCTGGGAGCAGCATCAAATCACATGTTTGAACGCTTGAAACCACGAAATGACTGCAAACGCGCGGCTAATGCGAGCCGACACACGTCGAATCGCGATTCCGGCCAAACATGGTCTGGAAAAGTAGGTCACAGGTCAAAGGTCATTTGAGGGTCATGAAATTTTTAGGATAGGTGTAAAATGGATTAACGCATGGGTACTGAGAGTTTCGTTGCGATCTGTTGCTTTTTACGCAAGTTATTTGCGAAAAACCTTAGGGGGTGCATCCTGCACCCCGCCTGTTCCGGCGAGGATTAGAACATTATCTCTGATCAAAACTTATATGAAATTTGTAATTAGCAGTCAGCACCCCGAAAACCCCCATTAAAGCTTCACTTAACTAAGTTCCAATAGGTCCCGATTTTCCTGACGTTTGGGTCATTGACCTGACCTGGAAGGTCAACCAATAACCTAGGAACTTAAAATTGGATGTCCTCGGCTTCCTTTCGTCACAGGCAACACGCTCGTATTTTCGCGAAGCTCTAGCTCGATCAGCGGCCAAACGGCAAGGGGGGGGGGGGGCGTTCGCGGCTGGTACGGCAAGGGGGTTCAACGGACTCCACCTCCCCCTTCCCGGCCCCTTTTACGTTAGCGGCTGGCATAAATACGGGCGAGGGTTAAGGTGATTAATGCAAACAAAGAACAACATTTAAGGTGCTTCTGATAGCTTTCAGCGATTTGGCAAATCGGCGAAATTGGATGAAATTGTTTGGGCCAAACATCTTGAGCCGAGTGTAGATAATTAGCCATGCGTTATTTGCTATGTGGGCGGAGCCTGGTTCAGAGGGGACCGGCCAAACCGCTGAGCCGTGTTTCCTGACGACAACCGACCAGCCGCCCTGATACGATTCTCAGCGCAGCCTGTCCTGTTTCAGGGCTTGACCGACACACTGCTCACCGGTATACAATTTCCGAAGACATGTGCCGAAAATATGTTGGCTGGCACGCCCCTCTGCTAAGTTGCAGTGGAAGCTCTCGCCGCTGGTGGTCGTCTTCGCCGGCGCCGGCTGGTCGGCCGTGCGAGCTGTCTCGGAGCTGGTGCCTGCGCCCTGTGCTGTGTGCCGGGGCGGCTGGTCGGCCGGACAGCCCCAGTGTGCTCGTTCTGTAGCGATCACTGGCGGCGGCGGCGCGGCGGGACGGCTCTGCGCGGCGCCCAATGGGCCAACAGCAACATCCGTCCCGACCAGACAGGTGCACCAGCATGAGAACATGCATCTGGGTTTTAATACCACGTAATACCCTGATCTGGGATCCTATTCGATTGCTGTTCCGTTTTAAAATGTCGATTCCGCACGACTCTTAATTCCAAGTATGTATGTGTTACGGGTCATATGCTAACTTGGGCAGTATGCAAACTGCCCGGGCAGTATGCATACTACCCAACAGCCCGGGCAGTATGCATACCGCCCGGGTAGTATGCATACTACCCGACCCCTTGGGCAGTATGCATACCGCCCGGGCAGTATGCATACCTCCCGGGTAGTAGGTATGCATACCACCCACCTTTCTTCTCACGGGCAAGATGTTTACTCGGGCAGTATGTTGACTACACTTCGTGAGGCTTGTTAATGCAATAACTCGCGTATATATGTGAATGACAAACGTTTTAACCTTCTGGGTGGTGGGGGGGGTATTTTTTGTCCCCCCCTAGTTTTTTCGATATATCTCCAGAATTCCGCTGCGCCGATTGCCACCAAACTTTCAGTACCCTCCCGGGATCGTAGCTATTACACATTGTGACCAAAAAATTTCCAAAGGCTATGATAGGTTGGCCGCTAATGACGTCGGAGTGACGTCATTTCTGCCATTTTCGACCCAAAAAAGGTTTCGCGGGAAGAGCTGTCAGGCCTACAGCTTTATAGATACAGAAAATGTTTAAGAATAGGTATAAAAGGTGTCGAATTAGAGGGCTACAAAACTGCTATTTCGGATTTTTTAAATTTTTAGATTTTGACCCCCGCCAAATCAAAAAAGTAATTTTTTGAATATAATAGGCAAAAAATCCAAAAAGTTTTTTTTTGAATTTCGAAAAAAAAACGGAAAATATGTGAGTCCCTACCGCCTTCTATCCACATACCAAATTTGAGATTGATTCCTCTTTTTTGGCAAAGTTATAGCGAAAAAAGAACTGTTCAAAATTCATGACGTCAAATTTTGTCGTCGTCGTTTCATTTTACTCAGTTCACGCTTCACAATGACAATGACTTGTTGGCCACTGGTTATTCAACAATGGATTTGGGAAAAAAGTAATTTCAACACTTTATTCCAATCCTCATTCTATCCTACGATCGATCAATCACGTTTGACGACAAAATTCTTCTCGGTCGCTCTATTGTTATCTAGAGAGCCATTTATATTCTTAATGTGGACATGGATTACACAACTTTAAGTCGGAAAGCGGGCAGTATGCAAACTGCCCAAGCTTTTGGGCGGTATGCATACTGCCCAAGGGGTCGGGTAGTATGCATACTACCCGGGCGGTATGCATACTGCCCGGGCTGTTGGGTAGTATGCATACTGCCCGGGTAGTTTGCATACTGCCCAAGTTAGCATATGACCCGTAACATATGTACTTAGTGGGAAGTGACACGATAGCCCACGATGGATAATGGTTCCTAGTGCTGCGTGCTGTGCGAATCAGCGTCCCTGCAGTGTGTTCCTGGCTGTTCTTATCAGATCGGACATCAGGCATATGTTTTCCACCTAGGATCCAATGGTTTATAAGTAGGTACTTACTGAAGTTCCGTAAGTGATTCGCTGCAACGGCAGCTGTCTAGCGCTCAGATACGTATGTTTGGGACATGCACGTGTCTGACCCCAGGTTAATTAATGGAGCTTCGATGCACGAATACTAAGTTCATATATACGAGGGGTTATCGAAAATTTCTGTTCGTCACTATGAATAATAAATGAAAGAAATTTGATTTTTACGTGATATTCTTCACTCCTCCACAAAGTCACCACACATGGCTACAAACTTCTTCCATCGTTTCTTTAGCTGCCTCAGGTCGTCCATGCACTGTAGAGCCTTTCCGATCAGGGGCGTAGCCAGGATTTCCTCAGGGGGGGGGGGGCAAAGTTACAGGGGCCCAAGGTAACCCCACTCAAAATCCAAAAAGTCATCGGATTTCATTCACTATTTTTGGAGGGGCCCAAATAAACAGAAAAATATTTATTAAAAAAATGTTAGAACTGAGGGGGTAAGCAGTCCATGGGCCCTGTTAGATAGGCCCACGAATAGCTTCATAGAGTTGCCAGTCGGTTTTGAGGGCGGTCTGAGGGCCCGTAGGTCGGATGAGGGTTCTTCAGACCGCCACAGGCCCCTACAGCCCATGAGAGCCTCGCAATCCATCTGAGGGTCATGTAAGCCGTCTAAGGGCCACTCCGTCTGAGGGTCCTTTAAAGGGCCACTCAGTCAGGGGCGCCTAGCCAGGATTTTCCTCAGACGGGGGAGGGGGGCCGGGGGCAATCAAACCGAAAGGGGCCCACGTGGGCGAAGGGGCTCAACATTTTCTCAATTGTATGACGTAGTTTGGGTTAACATTCATGGAATACGAACGCGAAATGAACGGGTGCATTACATATGCAACGCATTGTGTCATCTCAGGAATAATTGTAGTTTCTCAAAACCAGCGTTACTAGGACCCGCCACCAGTGTATTTACACAGAACAAACATAAGCAATACACAGCACAGTGCTGCTCTCGGCGACCCGGAGCTCCCCCAAAACCACTACCCGGGACCAATTGTTACGAACGAGGCCCAATTATCACTAAATCTCTGGTAGCTTCTTGCCCCAGTCGCAACTAACGACCAATAAAAGACTGTAAATTTGGCTCCTCACGTATTCTTATTGAACAAAACAAAACAGGCAACATACAGCCAAACTGTGCAATGCGACGACAGGTATGTAATGTGAATGATCGGCAGAAGGCCGACCCTACCCGTGAAAATACCTCCCTTGAAAACGGTTAAACCGTGGTTTATAAGTGACACCTCCGCAGAGGACCGTCCGTGGACCAATATGACTCAGAGTATATTGACCATGGGCAGTGGCCGGGACCAGGCACCAAGACGTCTGGTTAAGAGGTTGGACTACAGTCCCGCCTCTCCCATTTGGACCGCCCCATGCAGTTTGGCCAGAAGCTTTCGACAAGACGAGAGTCCCATCTGACAGCCGCCAACGAAACTACATTGAACAAGCCGCGAAGGGCGCTACTAGCGGGCCAGAACTCCCGCACCAGCAGCCCAACACAGCGGTCCACCCGGCCCCGACCGACTCTCGACCAAGAGTGACATGCCGCTGCGGCCCCCGACCCCACATCGCGTACGGTCAGGTCACGTGCTCTCCGACCAATAAGCCCACCGCGCGGGCGCCCGCCGGGTAGGCTGTGCCGCCCGCCGCTCGCTGCAGCGGCGGCGGCCAGCCGTACCACCCGGCTCCCGTAACATAATCTTAACATACTCCCCACCAAAATGTGGGAACTCACTGGTTAACACATTTTCAAAATGAGATTAACACAACGCGCGCACAATTCACAACAAAGCACACATCACACCACGAGCCGCACGTTTGCCTGCTTGCGGCCGTCGTTGCGGGTCTCAGTCCTCCCGCAGCTGGCCATTGGTCCTAGGACCGGAGGCCAGCGTCCTCGGCTACGTCCTCTTCTTTCTTCTCTTCCACAGGCGTGGGAACGCCGGGCAGTGAGACGGCGCTTCCGGTGGGGCAGACGTCCTCCAGCTCCGGCTCCAGCTCCATCTAAGGCCGTCGCTCCTCCAGCGGCTCCGCAGACGTCGACTCTTTGGAGACGGCTGCCGATGGCATCCCAGCGTCGATGCCGACAGGCACCGTGGAGGCCGCCGGGGTGCTTCAGCACACCATTGGCTCCGGCCCATCCCGTCCACCGCGGATGATGGAACGATCTCCTCAGGAGGATGTGGGGAGGGCTTCACGCCCTGACACCGGGCAGCAGCCCAGGAGTCACGTCTGCCCGGCATCAGCCCGGCGCCGCTCTCATCATTGGGTTCTGAGTCAGCATTCGACTCCTTGAAGGAGAGAGTCATCTCTCCATTGTTTGTCATCATTTCATCCTGCTCATCACACAGGTGATGTTTTTCTGCATCGAGCAGCTGTGTCTGCGCCTTTGCGGAACCATGATGGAATGGTGGACTTTCATCCGACTCCAAGGACACAGTCTTATTGGAACAGTCCACTGGCTCGTTACAGTGTGGCTCGGATAGAATGTCATCCACGTTCATGGCCTCATTCTGGCCGACCCCAGTCTCGTTCAGCTTCAGCACCTGTCTCAGCTGACATTGGGAAGACTGATGAACGGGCTGAATCGGCGAATCATCGCCGCGGTTCCCGTGAATCGCGTAGCCAAAGACCGTCTCTATGGCTCGCAGACCCTCTCCCAGCTCAAACTGCTCCCACAACACAACACGATACATGTTATCGATGCCGATCAGGAGGTCCACCTCCCCACCGTCAAAATCATCGGCCATCAAATCCGGCAGTCCGGAAGGCACTTTGGGTGGTGAGGTGGCAGGGAGAGGTGAGCACAGCGACTCAGTGCTCCACATTTTCATGGATACGGGATCACCCCCGAACCGACTCCTGAGAGTCACTTCAACCTGGTCGTATTGCCTGGCTTCTTCCGTCTTCTCCTGAAAGCCGATACAGGCGAACGTACCTGTACCGGTGACTGGGAGCGCCAGCTCCTTAGCCAGTGTGTCTCTTATGTAAGAGGAGTCAGAACCTCCGTCAATTAGGAGGCGTGCCCTTTGCTTGCCTCTGGGCCCCTCCACCTCAACCAATGCCGTCTGGAAAAACGTTTTGTTTCCAGGCATGCCGCTGGCATTGTAGCGGTGGTGACCCTTGTGGTTGGCGTTTCGGGGTTCTGGATCAAAGTGAGCACCCTGAGCTGTGGCCTGGGCAGGAGAAAAGGGTGGAGCTTCGGGTGACAACCCGTGCCTCCGATCACATTCACCGGTCTCCTGCGGAGCAGCGCTGGCATAGTGGAGCAGCGAGTGGTGCCTTTTCCCGCATATGGTACACGCGTCGCCTCGACAAGCTCCGGCCAGATGGCCCGCCCTAAGACATTGGTAACAGACTTTACCAGCTCTGGCGCTCTCCCATCGGGCCTCTATCGACAGCTTCTGGAACCTTGTGCACTGGTCCAGACTGTGGGACCCGTGTCCGCAACACCCGCACGGCGGTGCACTGGGTTTACTCCCTGTGCGAGTCAGACGCTGGGCGTGCAGACTGCTGGTCACGGACGGCTCAGAGATCAGAATATCGGATGAGGCAGTAG